TGGAGAGTGCTGCTATGAACATTGGGGTACATGTGCTCCTATGCCTCAGCATTTCTGTATCCCTTGGGTAAATTCCTAGCAGTGCTATTGCTGGGTCATAAGGGAGTTCTATTGTTAGTTTCCTGAGGAACCTCCACACTGTTTTCCAGAGGGGCTGTACCAGTTTACATTCCCACCAACAGTGCAGGAGGGTGCCCGTTTCTCCACATCCTCGCCAGCATCTAGAGTTCTCTGATTTGCTCATTTTAGCCACTCTGACTGGCGTGAGGTGGTATCTCAGTGTGGTTTTGATTTGTATTTCCCTGATGAGGAGGGATGCTGAGCATCGTTTCATGTGTCTGTTGGCCATCTGGATGTCCTCTTTGGAGAAGTGTCTGTTCATGTCTTCTGCCCATTTCTTCACTGGGTTGTTTGTTTTTCGGGCGTGGAGTTTGGTGAGTTCCTTATAGATTCTGGATATTAACCCTTTATCTGATATGTCATTTGCAACTATCTTTTCCCATTCCGTTGGTTGCCTATTAATTTTCTGGGTTGTTTCCTTGGCTGTGCAGAAGCTTTTAATCTTGATGAGGTCCCAACAGTTTATTTTTGCTCTCGATTCCCTTGCTTTTGGGGATGTGTCAAGTAAGAAGTTGCTGCGGTGGAGGTCAAGGAGGTTGTTTCCTGCTTTCTCCTCTAGGGTGTTGATAGTTTCCTGTCTCACGTTCAGGTCCTTTATCCATTTTGAGTTGATTTTTGTGCATGGTGTGAGAAAATGATCTAGTTTCATTCTTCTGCATGTTGCTGTCCAGTTCTCCCAACACCATCTGTTAAAAAGGCTGTCTTTTTTCCATTGGATATTCTTTCCTGCTTTGTCAAAGATCAGTTGGCTGTATACTTTTGGGTCCACTTCTGAGTTCTCAATTCTGTTCCATTGGTCTATGGGTCTGTTTTTGTGCCAATACCATACTGTCTTGAGGATGACAGCTTTGTAGTAGAGGCTGAAGTCTGGGATGGTGATACCTCCCGTTTTGGTTTTATTTTTCAGTATTACTTTGGCTATTCGGGGTCTTTTGTGGTTCCATACAAATTTTTGGATAGTTTGTTCTAGTTTTGAGAAGTATGCTGGTGCAATTTTGATTGGAATTGCATTGAATGTGTAGAGTGCTTTAGGTAGTAATGACATCTTAACTATATTTATTCTTCCTGTCCATGAGCATGGAATGTTTTTCCATTTCTTTGTGTCTTCTTCAATTTCCTAAATGGACTTTCTAAGACGATGTTCTCCAGAGAGAAATGGAGATGCTGTGCAAATAGGAAGGTTTATCATTTTTCTTTTTAATCAAGTACGCGTGTACTTTTAGCTCAGACTCGGTCTTGTTAGCAGGCGCGTGTGTTTTGTCATGCAGAGAACCCACACTGAAACCCTGCTGGTGGCCATCGGTGGCCTTGCGCCTGAAGCCCTGCTCGCGCTCCAGACTGCTTCGGCTTGTTTTTTGTTGTCTGAGTTGTGGGCTTCCTGCTGTGTCGGGGCAGCGGGCCCATTCTCCTTAGTCTGGAAATGCGGCTTCCAGCGCGCTCCATTTGTTTTGACACAGTCTTGTGGGAACGACATGAATTCCACCGAGGCCGTCACGCTGGGGTCCCTTGGTGCTAGGTGTCCCTGGTGTGTACGCGCCCCATGATCATGGGCGCCTTTGGTGAGGCAGCTGGGAGGTGGGGCGCCTCGGGGTTGTGCGGAGGAGAGCTAGAAAGCCGTGTCCCTCTGCTCCTCCCTGACTTCTCCCTCCTGTGTTCTCGGAGCATCAGCACCAGGAGGACCCTGGAGAGCCCCTTGCGCGGGGCCGGGACCCCTGAACCCTCCCCCCGACTCCTCGGGAAAGGAGCCACAGTGCCCTTGCTCGGATCCCTGTCTGCAAACCAGAGTGAGCTGCCCCTCTCACAGACACCCCGAAGGAATGTGGGTTTGAACTGACCTCGCCTTCCTGGCCGGTGTTAGAGCCCAGGGAAAAAAAGAGCCGCCTTTGGCAAAAAGCTTTAGCTGGTCTTGTGGTTTTTGTACTTGTAAGTCCAGTTCACTGTGGGTCTGAGCTTGGACGTTGTATTCCCCACGGGAGGGCTGGGGTTGGAGAACCAGCCCTGCTCTGGTGTGCGGTTGTGAGTTACCTCCCAAAGCGTGTCTTCCCCCTCCCAGACCTATTGGCCAGGGCCAGGGCCAGGGCCCAGGCGGGAGCTGGGGTGGGTTCCTGCCAGCAGCTGTGACTAGACAGTGCGGTTACCTTTTATTTAATGCCACCCACTCTCCTCTCCCCCTGCCTGAGGAGGGTGGTGGGGAGAAGGGGACGATCTGTTTCCAGCATGTGGCGCTGTCCCAGAAGCCATGATTTGGTACCTGAGCATCCAATGAAGAAGCTGGGGTAGAGACCCAAGATGGCAGTGAGTTAGAATTTATTGGACAAACTGGTTTCCTTTCTCTGATTGTAGGGAAGGTACTTAGAGCATCAGTTTGTGTGTGTCTCTGTCTCTTTCCTCACACACGCTCCTGTGTGCCCTCTCTGACCTGGCATGCCAGTGAGGGGTTATGAGTCCTGTAGCTGTGGAATCGTCTCTCTTGGATATGGAAGTTCAGATGGTACTCACGTTTGGGCCTCAGCAGGGTCACAGTCCCCTGAAATTGCCTGCGAAATTATGTGTGCATGTTTCTTGAGGGAGGGGCCATAGCTTTCATCAGATTCCCAGACAGAGCTCCGGTTTCTGAAAGGATAGCGGCCTCTGCTTTGAGATTTACGTCTTGGATTTGAACAGTGACTGGCATTCGTGGGGTTCCTGCCCCACACAGGCGTGGCTACGCATCTACGTGCCTTATTTCTTTGGGGCCTCTAAACCCAGGGGAGAGTTTTATGATTTTCCCGCTCTTACTGACGATGAGGTGGACGCACACTAGACACACAGTGATGGTTCACTGGAGCCGGGGTTTGAACACAGAGGGTCTGATTCTGGAACTCAGCCTCGACACTGTGCCAGGTGGCTCCACAGTGACTGTGGGGTGTAGCCGCTCTGTCCCCTCCACTGCCAGGATTCTGGTGTAGGATTCCACAGGCCCTGAGTTGGAACAGTTACCCACCAGATTTCCACATCTCCGGAGGGTTTGGATGGAGGAGGTTGTCTTTGTGAGGTCAGATCTGTTTAATTTTGTATCTCAGTTCTGTGGCTCAGTTGTCCTCAGCCTAAGCCTAGGAATCATGACCCTGGCCCACGGGGTCACCGTGAGCATAAGGTCAGTTGCTAACACTTCTGAAAGGATTTGGGGAGCCGTGGATTATGTCAGGACAGTGCCATTGGCTCTCCTTAGGAGGGCGGGCGGCCTCAGGCTCAGAAGGACCAAAGGTCTAAAGGTATGAGACCCAGGACTGTTTATCTCAGCTGCCTGTGGTCAGAGGTACATTCTGGACAGAGGTGGTGATGTAACCGTCTAGGTGTGGGTATTGAAAAATCCCTCTTTGCTCTTTCCCCATTTCAGGTTTGCCCTTTGAGTCAAGTCAAATATTTATCGAGTGTTTCTGAGTACAGAAATAGGGTGTGAGAGCCATCAGAGAGCTCTGCTCCGTACAGAAGCGGAGCCCCTCTTCTTCTGGAATGCGTGGTCTTGTTGACGGACAAGGGCAGCGTGTGTGGAGATGAAGAGAGGCGCACAGTAAGGTCGGAGGAGACCGCAGCCCGGCACGGGCCGGAAGGTGCTGGGGAGACAGGGAGCTCTGGGCTGGGACAGTGAAGGAAGGTGGTTCAGGTGGAAGAATCTGGAGAGTTTGGGCGAGTGGCGGGGTGCCGAGGCGGGGACAAACACTGAGCAGACTGATCATAAGCTCTGAGAGGGCTGCGACTAGCAGTCTCACTGGCGTGAGGAAGGTTGATCTTCTGGTGGGGGTGCAGGACGGGTCCGAAAGGGGAGTGAGGTGCCAGCCATGTTCTTGGCAGTCTCTGAGCACTCTGTCGCTGCAGCCCAGATGTAGCTGCAGCCCAGATGGAAACGGAATGTGTTATTGACATTAAGTTTTGAAGAGCTGGGCGGACCGGGCAGACCACACCCCCGTCCTCCCTACTGGACACACGGTGTGGGGTGTGTATCAGGGCAGCGGGCAGATTACATGTTGCCACCTGCCCATTTCTTTTAGGCCCTTGTCCGACGAGCATAGCCACTTCTTGACTGCACGTTGCACATTGAAAAGTGCTCAGGACTAATTTTTTCAGTCGCGGGGTTGAGGAGAGCCAGTCTACATGATGAAATCTTAACTCTAGATAATTGTTCACGTCCTTAAAAACCTGCCTTTTCACTTGAGTTGCTGATATCTTTTTCCTTTTCTCTCTGGCGGTGCCCTGGTATAAAAGTGCTAATGATCAGTATTTTGACTGTAAGGTAGCAGTTGTGAGGAGCCTGTCTTGTCCACAAAAGGAGTAATTGATACGTAAATAATTGAGAATAGTCTCTGTGAGTTACAGAAACACCCTGTTTAGATCTTTATAAGCAGCTACTGTACTGTCTCTCACTAATCTTTTTCTGCTTTTCCAGTCAACAGGACAGGGTGGGGGGATTGGGATTGGCCTGGGTGAGCCCCCGGGTGGGGACTGTTCTGGCCTCAGGTTCTCAAGGGACAGACTCCTTGGTTCCAGCAGTGGGGACGGTCACACAGCACTTCAAAGCAAGCTCTGCTCATGCCACACAGTCAGGCAGTCTTCCCTTGCTCCAAAATTGTGAGGTGAACCATTTCTAGGGGGACGGAGGGGCAGCGGGTAGGAAGTCTAGGGCAGGGTTGGGAACTTGTATTTTATACTTTCCAACTCTCTGTATCTGGGTGTTTTTCACTGTGATCCTTTTATATAATAATATAAAAGTTACATATTAATACGATAATAATTGATAGAAATGCTCTAAACGTTGAGTTAAGGTACTGCAGAGCGAAGCGGTTAAGTGCACGTGGGAGGTAGAATGGCATTGGGAGCCCCGTTCTGTTACCGCCCCGCAGATGGCTGCTCTCTCCTCGTTCCTGGGCGAGCAGGACGCACCCTTAACCACAGATTGCAGGTACTCCGTGCGTGTGTCGCCGCAGATGGCAAACCGGATTGTGGATTCTGCAAGGAGCATCCTCAACAAGTTTATCCCCGACATCTATATTTACACAGACCACATGAAAGGAGTCAGCTCTGGAAAGTAAGTGCATGTGCACTTTTAGAGCCTAATTGTGCAGCTACCCCAGCCTTTTCACAGCCCTGTTCTGATCGAAGTGACAGCCGCGAGCTGTGCTGTAGGCCAGCCAGAGGGAGAATGATTGCAGAGTTGACTTCCTCCTAACTTACCGCCACTGTCACCCGCAGGCATCTTTGGAGTGCCTGTCACACGGAAAGGACCGCAGTGGCCAGTGCCGGACAGAGATGAGGGGTCCAGACCCTGGCCTGGGGGAGTTAAAGCCCAGGTGCTTCCAGCTTTAAATCCCATCTGTTTCCACAAAAAACTAAACGAAACAAGTTCAGGGCACCTGGGTGGCCCAGGTGGTTGAGCGTCTGACTTGATTTTGGTTCAGGTCATGATCCTGGCGTCGTGGGAATGAGTGCCAAATCAGGTTTCGTGCTGACAGTGTGGAGAGCGCTCGGGATTCTGTCTCTGTCTGTCTCTCCCTCCCCCCCCCCCCCCCCCCCCCCCCCGCTGCCCCTCTCCCTGACTTGTTGCTCTCTCTCTGTTTAAAAAAAAAGTTTATAAAGTAAACAAGTTCTCCCATTCTGAGTAAATAACAGTTTAGGGGAAAATGTCCTTTGCTGCTGGTCTATGCCAGTTGGCTTCCCCCTCCATCGGGCGGGACAACACTTTTAGAGCCAGAGAAAGTTGTTATTGCCGATTGGAATTGGGTTTCATTAAGCCTTTGTGGAAAACCTCACTTTAGAAAATAAAATGGTGATGATGATCTGTGTAATGAAAATACTTGTTTTAGGCTTTAGTTGTATGTTTAGAAACCAGTAAGTGAGGCAAGCAATTAAGAACTAGTTTTTTATTATGGAAATGTTAAATATACAGAGAAGGTGAAAGGCTAGCACAGTGAACACCTGTGTATTCCTACTACCTGTAGTTAATGGTGACTCTTTTGCCAAATCTACTTACTTGCGTGTAGGTCTTCTGTGTTTTTGTTTTTGCTGAGTCATTTCTGTGTGAACGATGGGATCATGACACTTGGGAGTCTGCAGCTTGTAGGCTGTGTCTCTTAAAAGTAAGAACATCAGGGATTGACTGTGGGGAGTTCAGACATCAGTGTTTCTCTGAGTAGGACCATAGCCCACCCTTGTCCATGGCCCTTGCATCTGAACTTTCTTTTGACTTCAGCCAGAGAAGGAAGGAGCAAAGGAGGGGTGAGCATGATGTGGCATTTCTGACCTTGACAGGCCCACGGGAACGGTGAAGGTGATTTCAGCAATGTGGCAGTGGCTCGTGGTTCAGAGGAGCAGAGGCGAAGGTGTCAGAGGCTATGGTTGGGGAAGCATTTGGGTACACAGCTGGCCCCTCCTCTGGTAGTTGGAAATGCCAGTGATGGTCCCAGACTCCTTTGGGGCACTGCTCAGACACCACCAGTGACTTCCTCACTCGTATGGTGGGTGTGGTAACGCCGGCATCATTAGGTTACTGTAAAGAGTTAGGTTACTGTAAAGATTGAGCGATCACCTGTGTACCACTAATGCAACGGCTGGCACATAGTAGGCGTGGCAGAAAAGGATCCCTTTCTCTTCCCTTCTTGGCCATTCTCTGGGGAGGCGTGGCCACAGAGTGATGGGGTAGATCGGTGCGGCGGCAGCAGCAGCCATCTGAGGCGTCTGGCCTCTGGCTCTACCAAAGGGTGGCTGAGAGTAGAGCAGAGCGGGCCTGAGGCCATACTGCCCCCAGCTGTGGTGTACCTGTTTATGACGCCATTGACTCAGCTGACCCCGGTGTGCAGCTCAGTCTTGTCCTTGCTAAGGGCGAGTAGGAAGCTCACACAGGGATCAAGATGTGGGCATGATGGAGGTTGGCAGGTCGTCAACCCCAAGCCCCACTTAAAAGAAGTCACATGTAAGAGCAATGGATAACAGGAGGTTTGTGTCTTGTTTTCTAAACCTCAAGTTGCAGAGCACCGATGGGGACCTTCCTTGTCTGGAGTGGAGGTAAAAGCCATAGAGGTATCTGCCTCTTGGAACTCAGTGGAGCATCCCTGTAGTGAGGTTTCCTCAACTCCAGGGCTGATGGGTGCTGCAGCCCAGAAGCCCGGGGACCAGCCATTGCGGGTGGTCTGTGTCAGCTTGCTGACCAGTGTGCCATGTGCCCTTTGGCCCGTTTTGATCCTCACAATGGTCAAGACCTTAAAAAAAAAATCTAGTCGTTTACCAGCTGGGAAGTTTTGGAGGCCATCGCTTGCAAACTACGTACTAATGCAGGTGTTCAGTGAGGTCGCCTGGTGACCAGCTGCTTTGTCACTGCAACAGGCCTGAGAGCACACGCCCCAGGTCGGAGGGGACAGATCAGAGGAACGCACACGGAGCTTCCTATGTTCTTGAGTCTTTTGTGTTTCCTAAAACAAATACAGTGGTAAACACAGCAGTTTTGATTAAAGTTTATTGGAATAACAACCACACAGACTTCAAAAATTTCACAGAGATGGAAGAATCTGGAAGTTCTTGCGAACTGTAGGTGAGTGGGTTGAAGCAGTGATGGTAGCTCATCTTCTGCTTCTCTGCCCCCGGTTTCCACTCTGCACACTTCCGTGGCTCTGCCTGTACTGCTGATGGAGCTGATCCCCTCCCCCCACCGCCATCTCCCTGGTCAGGTGATCGAAAGCCACTTAAGGTTGTCCCATGGCGTGATGGACGAGTGGCATGGTGTTCAACTGTAAAGCATGACTCGGAGCGCCCCAGCACCTTTATTCTCACCCACCTCCTTTCCTGGGCAGGTGTTAGTAGCCCTTGGCTGTGTAGACATTTTTTTTAAAGAAAGTAAGGACTGGCCAGTGTAGTTCTTTCACACAGTGAGCTCACTTAGTACGTTTGAAACGTTACTAATTTTATGATTTTATTCACAGTTTTTCTGAAGCAGGTATTTTGGCTAGTTTTGTGCTGGACATGTAGAAAGTGCTTCAGTCTGTTGAATTGTGTTAAAGGAGGAAAATGTGTGCAGTGATTGCTGCGTGTGGAGTGTACCAATGGCACCGGGCAAATTAGATGCCTCTGAGATGTTAAATTTGGAACTTGTAGGGGAGAGAGACTTCTTTTTACTGTTTGTGGACTGACTGGTTGTCAGTAAGCTCTCTAAGGGTAGGAACACTTGTGTACGTGGCGCTCCACGTCCTGGCCGTGGAGGCTTTCCCCCACATGTTTGTTGGGGTGCGTGAGCAAGTGAGGCAGCTGTGATTCTGGACAAGAATGCTGTTCGCTTCCGGCTGCTGGTGCTAGACACACAACGGAGGAGGGCATGGTGCCAGCTCCCTGGTTATATTCAATGAATTCTGAGTCGAGGGGGTTCCTTCATTAAAGGTGTGCCATCCCTAGGTCCTTTCTGGGCCATGTGGTACTTCTCATTATGGGGCTTGAACTGCCTGGTGTTTCAGGTGGCCTCCGGGCCGCTCATTCCTTCTGGATCCGCTGAGGGCCAAGTACCTTGGTGGAGAACTTGCATGGGCTTTGGAGTCTAGAAGGCCTGACTTTGAAACCTGTCTCGGTCACTTGCTAGCGGTGTGGACTTGGTGCAGTTGCTGAATTTCTCACTTGTTAAGTGGGGATGGTAATGTTGACCCTGTGTCAAACCCCCGGCTCAGAAACTGGCCATAAGTAGGCACTCGGTGCCCGTAGCCCTTGTTAACGTTACTTTACGAGTTGATGGAGACGAACTCTCGCCGGGCAGGCGTCGGGGGGAAGGTGGGCGGGCAGGGCCAGAAGGAAAAGCAGTGCAGACTTGTCTCCTCTGGTTCCGCCCCGTAGGCTCTCACTCAGTCATTTGTGTTTGCAGGGTAAGCTGGTAGGAGCGCTGGCGGGCTTGGCTGTGGTGGCCGGACAGAAGGCCGTCAGAAAGATGCTTGTGTTCTTCCCTTTTGCTGGTGGATGTGAGCCCCCCGCTTTATCAGCCACACTCACTTCCATGCCTTTGCATCTGCAGGTCTCCGGGTTTTGGATTGTCACTGGTTGCGGAGACCACCACCGGCACCTTCCTCAGTGCCGAGCTGGCCTCCAGTCCCCAGGGCCAGGGGGCTGCCGTGCTCCCCGAGGACCTCGGCCGCAACTGCGCCAAGCTGCTGCTCGAAGAGATCTATAGGGTACGTCCTCAACCTCTACGGGTGTGGGAGCGGCGCATTGGGAAGCGGTTCACTGTCTCTCCTTCTTACTCCTTAGCAGCTTTCTTCTCTTCCAGGGGCTTGAGCCAAGGGCTTCACTTCTTCCTACCTATTCAGCAGTTTAGCATTAACTAGTTTAACGGATTAGGTAACAAGTGAGCGAGCATCCAGCCTCCCTGGTTTGGGATACAGAGCAGGTAAGTTTAGCGGGGAGAGGGGAGAACAGGAGCATAGTCAGACGAGAGAGAGAAGGTAAAAAAACATGGAGTGTGTTTGGTGGTGACTGGCCAGGTGAAGGGCAGACTCTGCCTTGACCTAACAGGTGCCATCTCTCAGCACCCTGAGTCTGGTCGTAAGGAAGAGGGGCGCGCCGTTCTCAGATTTCTCAAGAGAAGCCAGAAATCTGGGTTTGTAAGTGACAGTTCAGATAGAAAATAGTATCAACAGGCAAGATGGTGCGGTGTGCTCTGGAACACAGCGGAAAGCCTTGGGAAGGCAGCCCTGTGTCCGCGTGTGGTCCAAGCTTGGAGGGATCCGAGCGCAGGACGGCGGGAGAGGAGGCATCACTCGGTGCCGTCTTCCTTTGCAGCGGGGCTGTGGGACACGGCCCGTCCTCCCTGTCGCCATCATGTTTTCTCTGCCCGTCCAGACAAGCTGCACGCACCCGTGCACACACATTGTTTCCTAAGAGAGCTGAGGTGGCCTCACAGAAGCAAGGAAGAAGTTGGGAAGGAGGGAAAAACGATGGCAGGAGAAAATACCTGAATGCAGAATGGAAATACATTCTTAAGAGTCTGTCCGCCTCGCGTAGTGGGGAGCCCCAGGTCTGGCTCCGGGACTTCTGTTACTCTGCACCACCTTTTGTCTTGGCTCCATGTCAGGAGGCCCAAGCTTCCCCCGGACATGCCGAATCCAGGCTTTGCGGGACGGTCACTTCCCTGCTGTGTATGAGGCCCCACGTTCTAGAACTGAGCACGAGTGGGAACCGTACTCTGGGTGACTCACTACCAGGTGGCGTATAGCAGTTGTAACCTGTCTTTTTTCTCTAGCTCAAGGGCCTTTCGTCTCTGTGTTTGTCTGTGTATTTATTCTTGGGTACTAGACATCTCTGTGGTGCTTTCCTGGAGTCTCCCGGGGGGCTGTGCCCTGCTCAGAGCAGCAAAAATCACATGGGACCCAGTGTAATAAGAGCAGTAGGGCGGGTACAGTGGTGATTTTTTTTCCTTTCACTTCTTCCGTTTGCCACTGCAGTTGATTAATCTCTGTGGTAGGGTGACGGCCGGGTCATGGGTATCGATCCCTGTACAGGCCTCACTGAGGAAAACAGCTTAGAAACTCCCCTGATCCCAGTCAGCATTCTTGAAAATAATGTTCTTGGTCACAGGGTGGCACAGGTAAGAATGAACTGTTTCATCCGAGTTGATTAAAATTTCCAGGTCTTAAATGGCTTTATTTAACATCCACCTGATTAAAACGGAAGACAGAGAGCCTAGAACTGTCTGCATTGGAGCCTCGATCCCCTGTTTGCAGCGATTCAGCTGGAACTGGTGGAGGAAGGAAGTAACCCTGTCGGATGAAATCCTCCGGAAGGAGGAAATACCTCAACACGGTTCCTGTGCGGCCAGGGTCTGGCCTCTGCTATTTTGATGCTAAATCAGCCCAATATGTGGTGCTGCGTTAAGTGATTTTTGAGAGATGAGTAGTAACCGGAAGCTGGGAGTGAATGATCAAGAGCTTGCTCTGCCTGCTCCTTAGCTCAGGAAGTTTGTCACCTCGGCGTTTACGAGGGAAGACTGTGCGTCTGGTACGTGCGTCCCCAGTCCCTGTGGTCCTGTGGTGACTGGCAGGCACCCTCTCTGACCGCAGGGACGCTGCTGTCCTTTCCCAGCTGACCTGGGGGCATCAGAAGCATCACGTTCCAGAATAGCCCTGTGGGAGACCCCGGGCACAGCTGGAGTGGACGCTGCATCCCCGTAAAGAGCAGATTATAAGGCTCTGGGTGAGAGCACAGCCCATCGTCAGTCACCTGAGAGAGAACGTGCAGTCTGGATTAGGTTGTTTCTTTTTTTTTTTTTTTTTTATACTCTATTTAAGTTCTGTTTTATACCATCACCTTGTGCCTGGACCAGGTTTTTTGCCTTTGTTTTTAATCATTAAGAAATCATTCTTTGTGTGTGTCTGTGATCTTTAACTGTCAAAAGGATGAAAACGCTTTATGCTTTCCTGAATAATTTTTCATAGGTGTGTGATGTGATGGGGTTTAAATGAGTAATAAACATCCATCCCTTGGGGGCACCTGGGCGGCTCAGTTGGTTAAGCATCCAACTAGTTTTTCTCGATTTCAGCTCAGGTCATGATCCCATGGTTCGTGAGATCGAGCCCTGTGTCTGTGCCTGTGTTCCTGTGCAGAGCTTCTTGGGAGCCTACCTGGGATTCTCTCCCTGTCTCTGCCCCTCCCCTGTGTGCACATGCTCTCTTTCTTTCTCAAAATAAGTAAATAAACTTAAAATCCATGCCCCGGGGGTGCTGGTTATTTTTACCAGTTTTAATACTCTGGTCTAACCCTTTCATTCATGTCCCCTCCGTTTCCAAGCCCCCCTGATTCCACGCAGGCTCTCTGGGCTGCCTTTCTCATCCGCCTTGTGTCGCCACCTCGCTTGCACCTGTGTCTCCAGCGTCTTCTGTAGATCACGTCTCCCCCTGAGACACTGATCTGATCTGTTCACCCCTGTGCTCAGAGACCTTCCCCAGCTTCTCACTTTCCCAAGATAAAGTCAAAGCCCTCAACCTGGTTAGAAAAGTCTGTGTACGTCTTCCTCTCCCTGCGGCCGCCCCCCTCCCCAGACAGCACGCAACCCTTCGCTGGGCTCCTGGCCGCTCTTGCTGGCCCTGGGCCCGGTCCCCCATCCTCCTGCTGTCCCCTCCCCGCAGCCTCCCTCTGATGCCGGCTGGGTGACAGCCGTCTCTTGTCTCCTGCCCGCCGTGCTCCCCCACCCCCCAGCACTGGCTCCACTTGACTTGTGCCCGTTCCTGCACCATCTTTGCCGTAAGTACAGGGCCTACACCCTGTGCCTTGGGGGCGGCTCCGCCACGCCCTCCGCGGTGTCCCGTACACGCAGCCTGACGTATTCATCGCACTAAAATACTGGTCCAGCACGTACTAGAAATCAGTGAGAGTGGTAGAAAAGCAAGAGTGCTAAGGAGGAGAGACCGAAGAGAAACAGTTTACTTTTAGACACTTAGGAGAGGGAGCAAGTTCTGTAAAACAGAGTTAGTTTGCTTGGGCCTCCTCTTCTCCTTGTGGGTCAGGTTTCCCCTTTTAGATAGAAATACATATGCTGTAATTCTTCTCGTCTTAAAATTTGCTGAGTGAGGTGACTGTTGTCCTTTAATACCCCGGTGGCTTGGGAAGAGCAGTGGGTTTGCGTAAAGGCTAGCCGTAGCAGAAGCCCCTTTATTTTCTTACTCCGTCGTCACAGAGTGTGACAGCAGAGACTGAGCATCTGCCCTGGGAACTGACTTACCCCACCCTGCCTGCACTAACAAGGACGGGGCGCACCCACGTAAGTAGTGGGTGCACAGTCCGAGAGAGCCTCGCCTTGGACGGGGATGCATCGCGTCAGAACCCGGGTTTCTTACTGTGACGTGTGCCAAATGCGTAGAGATCCAGGGTCACCCTGCTGTCACTGTGTACCATGTAAGTTTGAACTATTTTAAATCAAACTATCCCAGGAGGAATGAGGAGAGATAAAGACAAATTTAAGGGCACAGATGTCAACAGCCGTCAGACAAGCATTGGCAGAAGCAAAATGGGGGAAAAGGTGGACACGTTCAAGAACGAAGGAAGAAGGGCAACCAAAGCAGTCGTGTCTCGGGAGAGGTTTTGCTCTGCGTTCTGTTACAGAAGGAAAGGAAGGAAATGTTGGGGGCAGGGGAATAATGCACACGCAGTAAGAACAGAGGGGTTGATCGCAATAGTTGTCCAGTTTTAGGGGTGCACAGGGAGAGGTCGAGGCAGGAAGCCCCTGGAGCATGGCCAGCAGTTTCTGAGTGTGACAGAATGTGTGCACAGGTGATGCCATGGAAGGTGACGGTCCATTCACATCACCTTAACCATGGTGCTCCCTCACCAATCAGGTCAACAGAAGCAACATTCATTTAGCCCAAGGTGATTAGCTATGGAACTGATTATGCATTTTTGCCCATATGTCCTGCCACTTTTGCTACAAAGGCAAAGTTTCATTTTTCACTAGATGCACCTCAGTAGACTTGAGTGTCTATTCATTCTCGTAGTCTCCGTGATTACAGGTTTTTTTTTAATTTTTAAAAGTTTTTAACGTTTATTTTTGAGAGAGAGAGAGACAGTACGAGCTGGAGATGGGCAGAGAGAGAGGGAGACACAGAATCTGAAGCAGGCTCCAGGCTCTGAGCTGTCAGCACAGAGCCCGACGTGGGGCTCGAACTCACAAACAGTGAGGTCATGACCTGAGCCAAAGTCCCGACGCCTAACCGACTGAGCCACCCAGGTGCCCCTGTTAGTTTAACCCCCTGAAGTTCGTGGTATAAGGATCACTCTTACAAGATTGTGTTTCATTATTGCTTGAGCTTTGTTGCCTGCTCTTCTGTGCTTCCGATATTCTGGGTGTCTGCAGTTTGTTTCCTTCCCTCTGTTTCGTTGGTTTTCCATTTTCTGGTTGGTAGAACAGTTAATCTCGAAAGTGTTTGTATTTACAGGGTGGATGCGTCGACTCAACCAACCAAAGCCTGGGTCTGTTGCTCATGACCCTTGGACAGCAGGATGTCTCCAAAGTCCTCCTCGGACCACTGTCTCCCTACACGTGAGTCGTTTTCCTTCCACCTCTCCGTGCCATCCAGTTCAGTCTCGCAGTGGCACAAACGACCGAGGCGTCTGCCGCACATAGCCGGTCCCCGTGAACACCTGCTTGTGCTGCTGCTGACATGAGCCGGAGGTTGTCACCCTAAACCTGGGGTTGAACAAGGATTTTGCTTCATATCCTTTCTTGTAGCTTCATCATTTCTGTGTGTCATTCCCCTGGCATGAGAGTCACATGAGAAATACCAGACAGTTCTTTAGTCTGTGCTTTAGATTTTGTTTCCATTTGGGAGGTAAACTGGTTCTGTTAATAGCTTGGATTGTGTCGTTAGTTCATGAAATCCCTCTTTTCCTTCGCTGTGGCCGAAAGGACTGTCTTTTTGTCGCAAACGCTAGGGTGTGAGCAGGCTGGAAAGATGGAGGAAGAGACAGAGTTCATTCGCAGGCATGCGGCTGGAGTAGCGGGGAAGCTAAGCGAGTGTAAGGCCGGGCGTGGGTATCATCCAGAGTCGACGGCTAAGGCGGTAAAGCACGCACTCTGCAGAAAGAGCAGCTCTCCGAAGACGTCAGTGGCAGACAGCACAGGGGAGGAAGCATCTCCCACTGACAGTACCTGAGGGTGCCGAAAACAGCCAGTCGGAGTGCCGGTGTCTGCGAGTGTGTGTTCATCGACTCCCGATCATTCCGTGCTCCTCTGTGGGTGGGGAGCAGGGTGGGTGGGCCTCGTACTCTTACAGGAGGAGGTTTTCAGGTAGACATGAGACTGAACTGTCCTTTTTCGGTTATCATGGTACCGATGCTGTATATCTGAAAGGTACAGTACTGTGATAACTGAAGAATGATGGTGCCATCACATTGAGGGGGCGAGCGTGGCCACGGAGCACTGTGTCCGGGGAGAGGCGCTCAGAAGACATTCTTAAGAGGCTTTTTTTTTTTTAATGGGGGAGGTTTTTTTTTTTTAATATTTTTTTAATTTATTTCTAAGAGAGAGAGACAGCGTGAGCAGGGGAGGGTCAGAGAGAGGGGGAGATACAGACTCTGAAACAGGCTCCAGGCTCTGAGCTGGCAGTCAGCACAGAGCCCGACACGGGGCTCGAACCCATGAACCGCGAGATCATGACCCAAGCGAGAGTCGGACACTTAACCGACTAAGCCACCCAGGCGCCCCATGGGGGGGGGAGGTTGTTTTGAACAAGGACGTGGAAGAGAGAGAGTCCATTCTGTTAATGGCGGAGAAGACTGGTAAGCAGGAAGGCGGTGAGGGCCACGCTGTGTCCCGATGACTCGTGTAACGTGTCTCACAGGACGTGAAACCCGAAGTGAGTAACTGGCTGAAACAGACTTGGTAACCGAGGCGTTCAGAGAGGGGGGCGGGGCTGGGAGCCCAGCACGCCCAGTGCGCAGGTTTCCCCTCGTGGAGACTGTGCTGGACGCAGCTGGCGGTCTGCAGCCGCCACGGTCCCCCCTTTGGGCAGCTGCTCACACGGCACCAGGCCCTGTCCCCACATGCGTGTGCTCATGGGCCATGGGGTTTGGCAGAACGTGGTGTGAAAAACGGAATGTATATTTTTATTTTTCCTTGGTGGCTTTTTTTTTTCTTTTGGAGATTTTTCTTTTTCTTTTGGAGATTTTTTTTTCCCCCCAGTTTGGCTACAGGGCCTTTATATAATCTTTTCAAGTCAGCAGCCCCTGCAGAGATGGCCAAGGTGTAACTGACACTTGTAGAAGTTTCTGTGTCCTCTTCGACTCACTTTTCAGCAAACATTAATTGCAGTGTCCTGTCTTCCAGAAACCTTGCCTAAAATCACACCGTCTCCTGGGAAAACAAAGTGGCCTGCTCTCATTGGAGCTTCAGAGCAGTAGCACAGATTGTAAAGCTGTGTGTTTGGAGACAAGGGGCTCAGGCCTCCAAGGCATTTGTCCTCTGGGTTACTTTCTCCCAGGGCTTCCTGTAAGAGGGGCTGCCGTGGGTGGGAAGGGGCAGCCTGCCTTCTTTGTGGTGCTTTCTGGTAAACTAGAACGAGGGTGGAGGCAAGGGGGTTTATTTTTGAACGCTGTGTCTGTTTGGGGTCCTTTTTTTTTTTTTAAATTTTTATTTATTTATTTTTGGGAGAGCACTGGTAGGGGAGGGGTAGAGAGACGGGAATAGAGGATCCGACGTGGACTCCGCCCTGACAGGCTGACAGCAGCGAGCCAGATGTGGGGCTCCACCTCACGAGCAACGAGATCATAACCAGAGCCCAAGTCAGACACTTAACCGACTGACCCACCCAGGCGCCCGTTTGGGATGCTTTATCCTCATGGAAGGCTCTAGGGGCCCAGAGTGACGAAGGGGCAGTGGCGGGAATAAATCTATGCCCTTCAGGGACCCAGTAGGTGAAGTTAACATCTACTTCTGTACAGTGAAGGGTGAAAAGAGATGGAATCCGTAATCAGGACAGTCATACTTGGGGGAAGCAGTTTATCCTAATCTAGTTCAGGAGCTTTCCAGATCAAACTGTCGCACTTAACTTTTATGTGCAGTTCAAGTCCTAAGAATCCATCTTCTGAAACCTCAGATTTCTAACGAAAACCAGAAGCAAGACCCTCTTTGGTTTAAAGAAGTGTATTCTGGCCCTTCATATGTTTTGATTTTTATAAATAGCTTTTCAAATGTCTGTTGATAGCACTGGGATTGGGGAGATGTTTTTCTTGCACTGTTGCTTTCAAATCCTTTCTGGATTTGTGTGTTCTTCTTTTCCTCTCACCTCTGTCCTTCTTCAGGAGATGGTTGGTGGTGGTTTCCTGCGTTACTTGAGAAAGTAAGCCTCTATGTGTGAAATTCTCCAGGAAGGTCAGAGATGCCTTTTTTTCAGTAGAACAGAATCGTGTTGGATGGCATGCTGGTACGTGAAGAATCTGTTTCTGTTGAATTTGTTGTGTTTTAGACAGAGCTGGCCACGGTAGTTCTGCCTTCCCCTCAAAATGCTTAGCTTTACAGCTTAGGGGAGGATTTATACTTGGTATAAAAGCAGGTTTAACAGCAAGAAAAATATTAATGAGCATCTTAATTAGCCCTTTTGGAAACTGCTCATGATCAGAGCATGCGGTTACCAGAATATTCTGTATTCTGCCAGTGCACAGGCATCGGGCTCCACCCCATCTGCATTTCAGTTCTGGCTCTGCCCCGGAGCACGGGAGTCTGTGGACAAGGCACTGAGCATGTCTGTGCATCTGCGTCCTCGGTCGTGAAGGTGAACAATGGTCCTGTGGCCGTGGGTTTGTGGAGATGGTGTGAAGCTTTAATGAGGTCGGATACTCCACTTTCCCAGCCGTGCAGTGTGCCTGACAGAGCTTAGTTTGTGCTGAACACCGGGGTTCCTGCCTCAATGTCCCCTCTGTGTGGGAAGTCCAGTCTCCCGGTAAGGTCACACTGGACACCAGGAGTCCTGGTAAACTTGCTTTGGGTATTCTCAGGCCTGAAGTCACCATAAATTGTCTGTCCAGCTCTCTCTAAATCTGTGTCCTTTATGACTAACATCTTGCAGTTGTTTTACTCAACAAACCATACACATCTTACATACTCTTCCCGAGAATTCTGTAGGGTCGTTTTACTTAGCAAGCACTTAATGGTATTTACTGTTGTCCAGATGTCCATTGAAGTGTTTTCAAAAGATGAACTCACAGGGCGCCTGGAGGGCTCAGTCGGTTAAGCGTCTGACTTTGGCTCAGGTCATGATCTCATGGTTCACGGGTTCGAGCCCCGCATCGGGCTCTGTGCTGACAGCTCAGAGCCTGGAGCCTGCTTCGGATTCTGTATCTCCCTCTCTCTGTGACCCTCCCCTGCTCACACTGTCTCTCTCTCTCTCTCTCAGAAATAAACATTTAAAAAAAAAAAAAAAAGGTGAACTCAGTTTTCATGATAAGCCTACAAGGGGGTGGTAAAGGCAGGTAAGTATCCTTCACGGTCCCTTTTACAGGTGAGGAGGGTGTGGGGTGAGGCACAGAGCGGTGCAGCCACGTGCCAGGGGCATACGCGTCAGCCATGGGGTTCTGACCCAGGCAGCCTCGCCCAGAGTCCCTGCTCCCCTGACGCACTGAGCTCTTGTGTAAGAGCTGGGATGCCGTCCACGTTGCTGGAGTCCACACACCTCGCTGCCTGGGGCGGGGTGCCACGCCACATCTTTCCAGAGTCCTCGTTTCAAATTCTGCCGTAAAGTGATCTCCTTCTATCTTTAGTTAGACGTCTAAAATAAACTGTGCCACTTTGTTTTTCTCTAACTTTAATAAATGACCTCTTTCCACTGCTCGTGAAGCGCTGGGGAGTGGGAGCCTGGTGTCTCTCTTGTCGTGACCCGTGGGAGCGGTGAGCGATGCGCGGCTGTTGGGTCCAGTCGCTCTGCTGCTCTCTGTGAGCTGCCAGGGCGCCGCCGCCCCACACATTTGGGGGGCTTGCTGTGCCACCAAGCCCTGCCTCTTTATTGTCACTCGGCGGAGCCCCAGCACAGAGCTGGTAAAGCAAGAGACATCATCACGTTTGCAGATGAAACAGTTCGGATGTAAAGGCAGCAGGAGGCCGGGGCCGGGCTGGGGGAGCTGTGGGTGTCAAGGCCAAGTTCCGCTCAGAGCTCACTCAACGTTCACTCGGAACAGAGGCCAGCAGGCTTTGGGAAAGCCGCGGTTTGGCAGAAAACAAAAAACAAAACAAAACAACCCACCACCAATGTATGTTTTAAAAGCCGCTGCATGATGACTGGGGCCCCACTGAGCAGACTCCCCTCCTGCCCCCGGGCCTTTCCCCTCAGTTTCCAGAGCCACGCCTGCGGCCTGAGAGGCAGGTAACCCCAACACAGAAGTGGCCTGCTGGGGCAGGGCCGGGGCCTTGTGTCGCCCGGAGAGGGCTGTCCTGACCTCTCTTCCCCTGGGTGTCAGGCCTGGGAGGCAGGCGGGGCTGTGGTTCAGAGGTGGGTGGGCCACCCGCAGGTGCCGCGCCCTCGGGGCCCCGTGGGCAGGTCCCGCGCCCGC